TGAAATGTCTGTCCTATTTCTGTGAAAGACGTCATTGAAATACATCAGTATCTTAATAGGGATTGCATTGAATCTATAAATCGCTTTGGGTAGTATGGACATTTTGATGATGTTAATTCTTCCAATCCATGAGCACGGTATATGTTTTCATTTATTTATGTCTTCCTTAATTTCTTTCTTCAATGTTGTATAGTTTTCTGCATACAGGTCTTTTACCTCCTTGGTTAAATGTACTTTACCTCCTTGGTTAAGTACTTGGTTATTCCTAAGACTTTATTTTTTTTGTTGCTATCTCAAATGGTATTTTTTCTCTGATTTCTTCTTCTATTTCATTGCTGGTGTACAAAAATGCCTTTGATTTCTGAATGTTGACTTTGTATCCTGCTGTTTTGCCAAATTCACTTATTATGTTGAGTAGTTTTTTGTTTGAGTCTACAGGGTTTTCTATGTACACTATCATGTCATCTGCAAACAATGATAGTTTTACTTCCTCCTTTCTAATTTGGATGCCCTTTATTTCTTTTTCCTGTCTGACCGCTCTGGCTAGGACTTCCAGTACCATGTTGAAGAGAAGTGGTGAAAGCGGACATCCTTGTCGTGTTCCGATCTTAGTGGTAAAACTTTTAGTTTTTTCCCATTGAGTATGATGTTGGCTGTATGCTTTTCATATCTGGCCTTAATTATGTTGAGGTATGCCCCCTATATTCTGACTCTGCTGAGTGTTTTGATCATAAATGGGTGCTGTACCTTATTGAATGCTTTTTCTGCATCTACTGAGATGATCATGTGGTTTTTGCCCTTCCTTTTGTTTATGTGATGTATTATGTTTATTGATTTGCATATATTGAACCATCCCTGCATCCTTGGGATGAATCCCACTTGATCATGGTGGATAGTCTTTTTAATGTATTGCTGGATGCAATTTGCCAATATTTTGTTGAGGATTTTAGCATCTATGTTCATCAGTGAAATTGACCTGTAGTTTTCTTTCTTTGTAGGGTCTTTTTTGTTTGTTTGTTTTAGATCTTTTTAAAAATTAATTAATTTATTTTTTCAAATACATTTGTCTCTGCCTTCCTCCCACCACTTTCCCTGGCCTCCTCCCTCCCTCCCTCCCTCAGCTCTTCCCCTTTGGTTTTGTCCATGAGTCCTTGCTATATGTTCCTTGACTTTCCCCTTCCCTTCCTTTTCCCCTGCCCCCACTCCCTCCTTCTCTCTTGTCTCTGTTGGTTTCTTTTCCTTTCAGTGTTGCTGGTCTTATTTTTCTTGCATCTTTGTATTGTTGGTTAGGTTCCTTATCTGGTTTTGGGATTAGGGTGATGCTGGCCTCATAAAGAGAGTCTGGGAGTCTTCCCTCCTCTTGGATTTTTTGGAATAGTTTGAGAAGGACAGGGGTTAGCTCTTCTTTAAATGTTTTGTAAAATTCTCCTGTGAAACCGTCTGGCCCATGGCTTTTGTGTGCTGGGAGTTTCTTCAGTACTGCTTCAATTTCCCCAGCTGTTACTGGTCTGTTCAAGCTTTCTGTTTCTTCTTCCTTCAGTGTTGGAAGATTATACTTTCCTAGAAATGTGTCCATTTCATCAAAGTTTTCCAATTTCTTGGCATATAATTGTTCATAATAGTTTCTGACGATCATTTGTATTTCTGTGGTATCAGTTGTTATTTCCCCTTTTTCATTTCTGATATTATTTGGGTCCTCTCTTTTTTTCTTGATGAGTCTGCTTAAAGGCTTGTCAATTTTATTTATCTTTTCAAAGAACCAGCTTCTGGATTGGTTGATCCTTTGAATTGTTCTTTTCGATCTATGTCATTGCTCTATGTCATTCATTAGTGCTCTAATCTTGACTATTTCCTTCCTTCTACTTGCTCTGGGATTTATTTGTGTTGTTTCTCCAGTCCTTGAAGTCTTAGTATTAGGTCTTTTATTTGAAATGTTTCTATTTTTTTTTAGGCAAGCCTGTATTGCTATGAACTTCTCTCTCAGGACCACCTTTGCTGTGTCCCATAGGTTTTGGACTGTTGTCTGTTCATTTTCATTTGTTTCCAGAAACTTTTTGATTTCTTCTCTTATCTCATTATTAGCCCATTCATTGTTTAATAGAGTGCTATTTAGTCTCCATGAGTTTCAATGCTTTTGAGTTTTTTCCTTGAGGTTGGTTTCTAGTTTAAAGCCCTTTTGGTCTGAGAAAATGCTTGTTATGATTTCAATGTTCCTGAATTTGTTGAAGCTTGTTTTGTGTTTATCATGTAGTGTAATTTTGAAAATATTCTGTGTGCATATGGAAAGAATGTGTATTTTGCTTCTTTGGCATAAAAGGTTTTATATATGTCATTTCAGTCCATTTGATCTAATGCATCATTCAGTTCCCCAATACACTTGATGATGTTTTGTTTGGAAGATCTATCCATTTTTGACAGTTGGGTGTTAAAATCCTGTACTATCAGTATGTTACTGTGTATATCTTTCTTGAAGCCCTCCAAGATTTTCCTTATGTATTTGGGTGCTCGTATTTGAGTGCACATAGGTTTACAATGTTTATGTCTTCTTGATGGGTTCTTCCTTTGAGTATTAAAAAGTGTCTGTCTGGGTCTCTTTTTATGGCCTTTGTTTAGAAATCTATTTTGTGTCACATAAATATTGCTACCCCTGCTTTTTTTCCCTGTCCATTTGCTTGAAATATTTTTTCCATCCTTTTGTAGGTTCTTTGTTCTGAGGTGGGTCTCTTATAGGCAGTATATGTGTGGGTCATGTTTTCTTTTCCATTCAGATATCCTATGTCTTTTGATTGGGGCATTTAATCCATTTACATTTAAAGTTATTATTGACAGGTATGTATTCATTTTTTCCCTTTGTACCTGATCCTCTCTTTCTCACTCTTTTTCACCTTTTTAAAATAAATTTATAAATCATGTTCATTCTATTACAGTTGTCTCAATTTTTCTCCCTTTACCCCTCTCCACCCATCCCACCCCACACCCTGCTCCCACAGTCAATTACCACTCTGTTGTCCATGTCCATCGGTCATTCATACATGTTCTTTGTCTAGTTCCTTCCCTACTGTTAAAATCCCCTACTATCAGTGTTGCTGTCTATATCTTTTTTGAAGTCGTCCAAGATTTTCCTTATATATTTGGGTGCTCCTATGTTGGGTGCATATAAGTTTACAATGTTTATGTCTTCTTGCCAGATTCTTCTTTTCAGTATTATAAAGTGTCCCTCTGGGTCTCTTTTTATGGCTTTTGTCTTGAAAAAATATTTTGTCTGATATAAATATTGCTACCCCTGCTTTCTTCTCTTGGCCAATTGCTTGGAATATTTTTTTCCATCCTTTTACTTTCAATCTGTGTAGGTCTTTTGTTCTGAGGTGGGTTTCTTGTGGGAAGCATATGTGTGGGTCATGTTTTCTTATCCATTCAGCTATCCTGTGTCTTTTGATTGGGGCATTTAGTCCATTTTCATTGAGAGTTATTACTGATACCAACCTATTCATTTTTTCTCTTTGTACCTGTGTTTTTCTTCTTCTCACTGTTTTTCTTCATCATCTTAAACCAGTCCCTTTAGCATATCTTGGGAGTGCTGGTTTTGTGGAGATATATTCTTTTAGCCTTCTTTTGTCTGGGAAACTCCTTATATCCCCTTCTATTTTAATGGAGAGCCTTCCTGGGTAGAGCAGCCTTGGTTGTAGGCCCTTGCTTTTCATTACCTGGAATACTTCTTGCCATTCCCTTCTGGCTTGTAGTGTTTCTGTTGAGAAGTCAGCTTCTAGCCATATTGGGGCTCCCTTGTATATTACTCCCTTTTTCTCCTTTGCTGTCATTAGGATTCTCTGTTTGTCTTTGCTATTTGCCATTTTAATGATGGTGTTTCTTGGAGTGAGCCTCCTTGGGCCCCTCTTGAGTGGAGCCCTGTGTGCTTCCTGGATCCATGAGACTTTTTCTCTCCTCAAATTGGGGAAATTTTCCATCATTAGTTTTTCAAAGAGGTTCTCTATCCCTTGCTCCTCTTCTTCTCCTGGTATCCCTATTATGCTGATATTATTGCGTTTCAGGTTGTCCTGCATTTCCCTAAATGCCTCTTCATTCTTTTGGAGTCTTTTTTCCATTTCTTGTTCTTTCTGGGAGCTTTTTTCTACCTTATCCTCCATCTCACTGATTCGATCCTCAGCCTCATCTAGCCTGCTTTGGATTCCTTGTACTGTGTTCCTCATCAATTCAGAAATGGTATTTTTCATATGCTCTTGTGTCTTCTTGATAGTTTCTATGTCCTTTTCCAGGTTGGTATAATTTGCTGTAAGATCCTGATAGTTTCTCTGCAGTTTCTCATAGTTATCTTTGGGCTAGCTGAGCTCATTGAGCTTCCTTACAGCCATTGTTTTGAATTCAGTATGTGATAGTTCCCTTGCCTCTATTTCATTTAGCTCTCTCTGTGTGGATTCCTCCTGTCCCCTCATTTAGGGGGAATTTCTTTTTCTTCCCATTTTTGTAAGAGTTATTTATTTATTTATTTATATTTATCTATTTATTTTTGCTTTGGCTTCAACTGGTCCATCTAGATTTCCAGACTTTGTGGATAAAACTTCTATGGTAATAGGTCTTTCTATTTATTTATTTTTCCTTTACTTTTCTTTCTGGGTCTGTCTCTGATGATGTCATTTGTTGATCCTATCTGACATTGAGTTGTTTGTTTAAGCCTTCCAGGGATCTACTGTCTGTGTCTGACTCCTGCTTTGGGCAGCTCTGTGACACCTTCGCCCAGGGATCCACTACTTCTGCAGATCACTCTGCACTCTCACGCTGGTTCTTTGAGCACGCTCGGCACCCAAGCTGAATTCCCTGCTGGCCCAGGTGCACCTGCCCTTCAGCCTGCATGAGCGTGATCACCCAACCCACGTACTCGCTCGACCTCGCGACCATGCGGCCCGGCACTGGTCAGTTTAGGGTCTTCTATTGTGTGCTTTCCCTGCTTTTGGCTCTTTGAGGGCTTGGCCTGCCAGCGCAAAATGGAGACTATGGAATCGGAAGACGTCAGCTCCGGGACTCTCCGGTTAATCCTGTCTCCAGTCTCTCCCCAAAGGGTCTCTGGGCAGCTCTGTGACCCCTTCGGCCAGAGATCCACTATTTCTGCAGACCATAATGGTGGGCCTGCTTCTGCTTCTGGGGGTGTGGCCTGCCTGTGCAAATGGGGACTATGGAATGGGGAGGGACTCTGCTCTGGGGATCTCAGATAATCCTCCAGTACTTTCCCCAACCCCTCTGTCTCCAGTCTCTCCTCAAGGGTCTCTATGCAGCTGTGTAGCCCCTTTGGCCAGGGATCCTCTATTTCTTCCAGCCAGTCTGCACTCAGCCCCTAGCCCACACATGTACAAGCTGTGTGCGGGGCACACAAAAGGCAGGTTAATTGATTCCCTTATGCCTGGGCGAGGTGGTAGCTGCAGAATGGGAGGTGAGCTATCACTGGGGCTCCGCTGGCCACAATCTCTGTTCTCTTCACAAAGTTTTCCTCGCCAATCCTTCCACAGGCACCAGCCCACTCTCCTGCCGCCTCTACCTAGAGATCAAGGAAGTTGGCTGCCATTGCAAATTTTTGCTTTGGGCCTTTAAATGTCTCTTTGCATCCCCAGCCACCTGTCTCTGGCAGAGAGCGCCCCTAAGCTTTTCAGGGTGGCATCTTGCCTGTGTGTTTTCCTGGTTTCAGCTGCTGTAGTCTAGGGGTCCTTGTTTATGGTTCAGACCCTGTTCTTCTCAGGGGGATCCAACTGGCCGTTTCAATGTCCCTCTGGTGCTGGTGCCCGTGGGCACCCAGCCCACCCTCTTGAGCCTCCACTGCACTTCTCACCCATTAGGATGTGTGAAAGTTGATTCCACTGTCTGTCTGAAGCTCCAAGGCTCCTCTCCCCCCTATTGTTCCGTTGTTTTCCAGGTGATTTCTCCACCTTTTAGTTGCAATTCCAGTTTGGTCTTGGGAAGAGGCCCGCCTAACTCCCATTCACTCCTCTGCCATCTTTTCTTCTCCCCAGTAGTATGCACCAGAGCTGCTTCAGCAGTAGGGGCGATAGCGGAAAGGATGCCATTGCCCGAATTCTGAAGCTTGAAAATTTAGCTTTGCCTTGGACTGGTTGTTTTGTTTTGACTCTTTTTGAATTTTCTTGTGGTCACTCCTGGGCTCTTTATTCTGTTCCATTGATCTATGTGTTTTTATGCCAGTGCCATGTTGCTTTGATTACTATGACCTAGTAGTGTAGTTTGATACCAGGTAGCATGATTCCTCCAACGTTGTTCTTTATTCTCAAGATTGCTGTGGTTATTCAGGGTCTCTCGTGGTTCTATATGAATTTTTAGATTATTTGTTCTAGTTCTATGAAATATCCCATTGGTATTTTGATAGAAATTGCATCAAATCTATAGATAGCTTTGAGTAGTATAGACATTTTAACAATCTTACTTTCTCTTTTCAGTGAGATTGGTATATGCTTTCACTTATATGTATCTTCTTCAATTTCTTTCTTCAGTGTCTTATAATTTTCCAAGTACAGGTCTTTTACATCCTTGATTAAATTTATTCCTAGGTATTTTATTTTTTATGCATCTTAAATGAGATTGTTTTCTTAGTTTCCCTTTCTAATAACTCATTGTTAGTGTATAAAAACACAAATAATTTCTGGATTTTATAACAGATTTTATTTATTTACTTTTAGAGAGACAGGAGAGGAGAGAGAGAGAGAATTGAGGTGCAAATTGCCTCTCAGATGCCCCCCAGCTGGGGACTTGGCCTGTAACCCAGGAATGTGCCCAGACTGCGAATCAAACTGGTGGCCTCTTGGTTCACAGGCCAGTGCTCAATCCAGCAAGCCACACTAGCCAGAGTTGGATATTTGTTTTGTATCCTGCCACTCTACTTAATTAGTTTATTAGTTCTAGTAGTTTCTTTGTGGAATATTTAGGGTTTTCTACATACAGTATCATGTCATCTGCAAATAAGTACAGTTTTATTTCTTCTTTTCCAATTTGGATGCCATTTATTTCTTCTTCTTATGTGGTTGCTCTGGCTAGGAGTTCCAGTACCATGTTGAATAAGAGTAATGAAATCAGACATTCCTGTCTTGTTCCTGATCTTAAGGGAAATGCTTTGAGTTTTGTCCACTGAGTATGACTTTGGCTGTGGTTTTGTTATATGTGGTTTTTGGTATGTTGAGATATGTTCCCTCTATTTCTACTTTGCTGAGAGTTTTTATCATACATCAGTGCTGGATTTTATTAAATATGCATATTAAATTTTAAATTTCTGCATCTATTAATATGACATGTAATTTTTATCCTTCATTTTTTATGTGGTGTATCACTATTACTGATTTGTAGGCATTGTACTAACCTTGCATCCCAAGAATAAATCCCACTTACTGATGGTGTATAATCTTTTTTTTCACATTTTAATTAAATTATTAGGATGACATTGGTTAATAGGATCATATAGGTTTCAAGTGTACATTTTCATGATACAATATCTGTATATTGCACTGTGTGCTCACCACTTGAAGTCAAACCATCTTCTGTCACCATATATTAGGCCTCTTCTACCTCCTACAACATCTTTACCCTCTTCTCTCTGTTAACTACCACACTGCTGTCTGTGTCCATGGGTTTCACCTTCATACCTCACATATGAGTGAACTCACGTGGTTCTTAGCTTTTTCTGACTGACTTATTTCATTTACCATAATAGTCTTGAGGTCTATCCATGTTGTTACAAATGTCAGTATTTCATCCTTTCTTATGGCTGAGTTGTATTCCATGGTATATATTTACCACTATTTACCACTTTTTTTTCCCCAGTCCTCTATTATAGGGCACTTTGATTGTGCCCGTGTCTTCACCACCATGAATAATACTGCAGTGAACATAACAGTGCATATACCTTTGTGATTACATATTGTCAAGTTTTGGGAGTAGATACCCAGAAAAGGAGTTGCTGGGTCACATGTAACTCTATCCTTAATTTTTTGAGGAGCCCCAGACTGTTTCCCAAAATGGCTGTACCAGTCTACATTTCCACCAGTGAATGAGGATTCTCTTTTCTTAACAACCTCTCCAAAACTTGTTATTACCTGTCTTGTTGATAATAGCCATTCTAACAGATGTGAAGTGGTACCTCATTGTAATTTTGATTTGCATTTCACTAATAGCAGTGAAGTTAAACATCTTTTCATATGGCTGTTTTTATGTCTTCTTGAGAGAGGTGTGTATTAAACCCTCTACCCATTTTTTAATCAGATTGTTTGGTATTGAGTTTTATGAGTTCTTTATATATTTGCAACATTAACCCTTTGTTGGAGCTGTTGTTTGCAAATATTATCTCCCATTTGGTCAACTGCTCTTTTGTGTCATTGTTGGTTTCCTTTGCTGTGCAGAAGCTTTTAGTTATATATGGTTCCATTTATTTATTTTTACTTACCTTGCCATTGGGTCAAATTCATAAAATGTTCTTTATGACCAAGATCCATACCAAGTTTATTACCTATTTTCTTCTCTGTAATTTATTATTTCAGATCTTATGTTTAGGCCCTTGATCTGAATTGAATTAATTTTTGTTCATGGAGAAAAACCGTAATCTAGTTTCATTCTTTTGCATGTGGCTTTTCAATTTTCCATTTATTGCACCATTTGTTGCAAAGAGTTTATTTTGTGTTATTGGCTCCTTTGTTGAAAATTATTTGCCTATACACATGCAGTTTTATTTCTCTTCTCTCAGTTCTGTTCCATTGATATGTGTGTCTCTTTTTCTCCCAATACCATGCTGTTTTGATTATTGTAGCTCTGTAGTAAAACTTGAAGTGAGGTAGTGTGATACTTTTGGCTTCATTCTTTTTTTCAGGATTGCTTTGACTATTTGGGGTCTTTTGTGGTTCCATAAAAATTTGATAATTTTTTGTTTTATTTCTTTAAAAAATGACATTGGGATTTTGATAATAATTGCATTTGATCTGTGTATTACTTCAGGTTAATATGGCCATTTAAACTATGTTGATTCTTCCACTCCATGAACTTGAAATATTTTCATTTCACTGTCTTTTTCAATCTCTTTTAATGATGTTTTATAGTTTTCAGTATGTAGGTCTTTCACATCCTTTGTTAAATTTATTCTTAGGTTTTTTATTCTTTCGGTTGCAATTGCAAAATGAATTTTTTTTTAACTTTCTGAAATTTTGTTGTTGGTATATAGTAAAGCACTGGATTTTTGTACATTGATTTTTTTAATCCTACAACTTTACTGCATTTTTTTGTATTGTTTTCAATAGCTTTTTGGTGGGTTTTCTATGTACACAATCGTGTTATCTGCAAAAAGTATCATTTTTACTTATTCTTCTGAATTTGGATGTTTTTTATTTCTTTCTCCTGCATCATTACTCTGCCTAAGACATCTAGAACTCTGTTGAATGACAGTGGTTAGAGTGAGCATCCTTGTCTTGTTCCTGAATTTTGAAGAAAAGCTTTCAGGTTTTCACCATTGAATGTGATATTGGCTGAGGGTTGGTCATATATGGCCTTTATTACATTAAGGTACTTTCCTTCTATACCTGTTTTACTGAGTGTTTTATTCATAAATGGATGTTGTATCTTATCAGATTGTTTTTCTGCATCTATTTTATCTTTTCTTTTGTTAATGCAGTGTATTACATTGATCAGTTTGCATATGTTGAACATTCCTTGTGCCCCTGGAATAAACACCACTTGATTGTGATGTATTATTTTTTAATGTATTGTTATATTTGATTTGTAGTATTTTGTTTAGAATTTTTGCCCCTGTAGAGATATTGGTCTGTGGTTTTCTTTTTTGTATGTTATCCTTCTCATGTTTTGGCAACAGGGTTATTTTGGCTTCAAAAAATGTCTTAGGAAATATTGTTTCTTTAATTTTTTAAAAGAGTTTGAGAGGTATAGGTTTCAAATCTTCTTTGAATGTTTGATAGAATTCACTGCTAAAGCCACCTGGTTCTGGACTTTTATTATTGGGGAGGTTTTAAAGTTTTTTCTCTTTTCTTTTAAATT